TAAATGCATCCACGTACGAGGGAGGAAAGAATTTAACAGTGCACAGCAACATTACAGTTTAGAACAGAAAGTGAATGATGATTTTATATTAAAAATAAAGAAACTTTCTTGTTTCAACTGTAGGGGGGAATTAAGCTATGCTGAAGGTTATTATCCAAGTTGAAAATTGGCCAGGATGTGTAGCATTTATTATCCCATCTCTTATATACAGTGCCATTGGATGTTTAATGATCACAATTGATCAGGCCTGCACATTTATATTTTATTCAAAAGCCTGTACTACTTAACTCATTAAGATAAATGTGAAATAATCCAAACTTTTCTCTGCAGCCTGAAGGGGGCAAGTTTTTTTTTTCATGTTTATTCATTTTTTTTTTTACTTCAAGAAGAAAAATGCGTAAAGAACAATATGGGAACTGCTGCCTGTGAAATTTTAGACTGTCTCCATGAGGGCTAGCTTATGGAGCGTGAGAAGCCTAGGACTGAATTTTTTCATACACCTCTACCCCGATATAACGCTGTCCTCGGGAGCAAAAAAAATCTTACCACGTTATATCAAACTTGCTTTGATCTGTCCCCGCCCCCCGGAGCGCTGTTTTACCGCATTATATCCGAATTTGTGTTATATCGGGTCGCGTTATATCGGGGTAGAGGTGTACTTAGAAGCATCAAGAAAAAAACGTAGACAAAACTTTCACCACTCAAACAAGACTTAAGATATAGGTAAATTAGACACGTGTTAGGCACATTCAAATTAGACAACTTTTGCAAGTCCTCCTTGAAACACATTCAGAAACTTATGACATCTTAAAATTAACTTATTTGTTTTTGTATGACCAGAAATTGAATATTAACACATCTTGCAAACACTTAGTGATCATCATTCATTACAGTTTGTAGTTATGTGGACATGGAGGCAGAGGTGAGACTTTTAATGAAGAGTAACCCCTTCAGTCAGTTAAGCATTGTTTTATAGTTTGAGAAAGAATTCTATCTAAATCTCCTATTTGGGAAAGGATGTTTAACTACAACAAAGGGGATAGGGATGTGGGGAGACAGGTCACACTTCACCCATGAAGCTTCCGCCCTCCTCCCCCATTGACTTAGAGAAAGTAGGACTTAATAAAAGCCACTTGTTGAGTTCAAACGGATATAAAAGGGGAGGCTGCATGGGGAACAATTTTTTCTCAGTGTATTTTTTTAATGTCAATATTATCAACTAGCTTCAGGAATTTTAAAATTAACTATACTCAAATCATTGACTTCATAATATGTATACTATTTTGTCTTCACGATCTGGCACTTGGATGCCATATAAGCATCCTATAAATGGATTAAATTAGAATACTTTTTCTGGATTGTAGATATTTACTGTAGTTATTGGTCTGTGGCCAAGTCTGAAAAAGACGCTAATTTAAATGATCGTAAGGAAATTTGGCAGAGGCTTAGAGATGCAGTTAGACCAGACACATTGGAATTACTTATGTAGGATATTAAAAGGTTATCTTTAGAGTTGAGACACTGACTCACTCAGGGGAAAATCATCCACTGGATATTCTGTAAATCAAAAGGTTAGCAGCTGGTGTGAAGATCCACTGAAAACCATGAAATCGGGTCAACCTAGAAAAGCCCATATTGCATGGGTACATAATGTAATTGTTCTGAAGTCTGTCCAGTAATAAAATTTTCTTCATTAGCTTTATACTAATATTTTCAGCTTTATCATTCTAGCTCACTTTTTAAGGGTGGATCTAAAAAAAAATGACCATGTTTCTCCATATTGAGCAAGTATCATAAAATAGTTTTTCAAGATTTTTACTAGAAAGGAAGTAAACTTTGAGTTGGCTGGAATTAGAAAAAACTGCATATCTACATCAGCAGAGAGAATCTTGGATGGTCATATCCTCAAGAATAGGAACATTTAAGGAACCTTTCAGTTTAGGGTTTGTCTTCATTACAGTGCTAGCCTGAGGTATAAAAAAAGCGTTGATTCCTGTCCACACATCAAAACCTCTGGTTAAGGTGCTGCTTTAACCTTGAGCTAGCTGGCCTGTCAGAAGGTGTTGGTTGAAGTTCAAGTGCTATTGATGCTTAGGCTAGTTATGAAATGGGGATACAACTACTTTGTGCTGCTAATCCAATAGTGTGCAGCTTGAGTGCTTTGCAGTGTGACCATTCTCACTTGAACTAAGCTAATTCAAGAGGAGTTAGCTCAAGTGTAGATAACTAGAGTTAACTCTTCAATGGAGATATGCCCTTAGATACAGGAGAACCTCAAATATATGACCACCAGAGTTCTGGACTTACCGGTCAACTGGACACCCTCTGAACCAGAAGTAATCGGGTAGCAGTGGAGATGCACGCACGCCCACACCCACACACATGCATGCAAATACTTTACTGCCTTGGAGATTTAACCCTGGGGCTCAGGGCTTCAGCTGGGGGGAAGGGAGGGTTAGGACTGCAGCCTTAGGGTGAAGAGGTGCGGGGATGTCAGGGCTTCTGACTCTTGGGAGCACCAGGGCGCAGGGCTTTAGATCTGGAGGGAGCGCTGGGGCTCGGGGATTCAGCCCTGTGGCTCTGTTCCCAGCTTCTCAGCCCCGTGGGGAGCTCGGGGCTTTAGCTATGACGGGGAACACTGGTTTCAGCCAAGCGCTTCCTCCCGTAGCTAAAGCCCTGAGCCCTGCACCCCATCCCACCCCAGATCAAAAGCCCTGAGCCCTGGTGCTCCTGAGGGTCAGAAGCCCTGACCCCAACCTGCGGCTGCAGCCCCAACTCCCTCTCCCCAGTGGCTGAAGTCCATAATGTCTCGTTCGGAGTTACAGACATTTCGGGGTTGCGGACAACCTCCATTCCTGAGGTGTCTGTGACTCTGAGGTTCTACTGTACTAACAATAGTTATTCTGCCCTTGACAAGTTTTTATTCATTCTGAAGCCTTTTGCTAGCCAGGCTAAACCTCATGGGATACATATCTTATTTTTAGGTTCTTACCAAATTCATGGCCATGAAAAACATGTCACAGACCGTGAAATTAGACCTCCCCTGTGAAATCTAGCTGTTGGAGGGGTAGGGGAGGGGCAGAGCTGGGGGTGTCAGCCAGGGTCTCCTTTGTTTCACTGGGCTCCAGCTGCTATCCGCCAGGCTGGGGAGGGATGGGACTTCCTCTTCTCCTGCACGGCTGCTCTTGGGGGGAGATCAGACCCACCTCTGGGTACCTCCCCGGCTGCAGGAAGCTCTGTGGCTGCTACCAGCTCTGAAGGCTCCCAGCAGCACAGGGGAGATCAGACCCACCTTCACCTCTGGAAATCTCCCCCAGATTCAGGAAGCTCTGCAGCTCTGAAGGCAGCACAAAAGTGAGGGTGGTAATCCCTCAATCTCCCTACATTAGTTTTGTGACCCCCATGAACCCCTTTTGGGTCGGGACTCCCAGGGTTACAACACTGAAATTTCAGATGTAAACATCTGAAAACGTGAAATTGATCAAAATGGACTGCGAATTTGGGCCCCACTTATTTTCATGTGGATCTAAGGGATACAGTGCTTAAACGTTCCTCTAGCATACCATTTTACTCATAAAAGGTAGTGTGGAGGATTATTCCTGAACAAGAGCTATCAGCGAAGACAAGTAATCTTGATAGTTAGCACCCGTAAGCTCAATCAATGGCACTGGATAGAAATACGAAATATTGTTCTAAATAAGATGGGGTCATTTAATACAGTAGTGGAAGATTTGTTCCTGAAACACCAGTATCCTGGCACTAATACTGTGTATGAAGTGACCTGATGAAGGGTTAAAAAAAAATAAATAAATAAACCCTTCCTTCACAGCTAATGCTGAACCATTTGTAGCTACCCCACACTAGGTGAAGCTAAAGCCAACGTTTGCAAAATAAGCAGTAATTTTACAAAAAAAACCCAACAACTACTTCAGTATGGATTGACCTTTGGTATCACCACAACTGCTTGATCTCTCTTCTAGTGAATGCTTACCTATTTAGTGAATACATTTTTAATCTAGGTCAATCTGGAAAAGACATGTAATACTTCCCAAAACATGGAATGTTACTTTCAAGACAGGCCAACTCTAACCAATTGACTGTTATCTGTATCTGCATTGTTAAAACAAATAAGCAAACAAAAAAGTTGACTAGGTGATGAGTTGCAAACTGAAGAGTTGAAGCTTTAAATTCTATTCCAGATGTCTGGTTTTATGTTTATTCTGAAGGACAGATTTAGATGATTTTTAAATGTGTATACTAAAACTTGTTTACCATGGACACTCAGGTATGAGTTGCTGAGTAACTTCTGTAGTTGTTCCTCCTTTAGGTTGACAGATATCAAAAAATAATTGTTAATGGATAATTATCATTGAATGGTGGGCTGTTTCCAGTAATGTTCCACAGAGATTGGTTCTAGTTACAGTGCTATTCAATATTTTCTTCGGTGATCTGGAAGATAAAATCACTTCTGATAAAAAATTAGTGGATGACTAGACACACATTGGCCAAGTGGTTAGTAATTCTGAGAACAGGATAGTCACACAGGAGTAATCCGAATCACCTGCTGGGTGGGGCCAATTCAAACAGAATATGTTTTAATACAATATTCAACATGATATGCTTTATTATTAAATGGTCTTTAGACACGCAGATCTTATAAAATAAAAGGCTATTATAGCTAAGTTTAAAACTTAATTTTCTTTATCTGAACCTCCTTGTTCATGTTTTATGTGCAGAACAAAAGTTAGTTAAATTGTACTTTAAAAAAACACATCTATATAGTGATTCTATGTACAGTTTTTGGACCTGATTCTGCAAAGAGATCCCAGTGGGCAGGTACTTAAGCCCATGTGAAGTCTTACTGATTTAAAATGACTCTTTGGGGATGCAAGGATTCCTACTCCTACATTACTTTACAGGATTGGAGTCAAACGTGATATATTGATTGTTAGCGTTTAATAATAATGCTGTATAACAATATCTTTTCAAATTATTTTTAGTGGTACATGATCAGCATTGTGCACATCTACAATCGTTGGAGAAACAGTGAAATTCGGTGTTACGTTAATGGTCAACTGGTATCCTATGGTGATATGGCTTGGCATGTTAACACGAACGATGTAAGAGATTTTTCTTTCCTTTTCTTTAGTTACTGTTTTCTATCCTCTTAAGTGCATGCATAGAACCATAATTCATTTGTACATTCCTATTTGGTTAAAAAATAGGATTGTATAAATAACAGGCATGTTTATTTCCTTAAAATGTTTTTTTAAATTTTTTAAAAAGAAAAAAATCAAGAATTGGGTTTATACTCTAATTATTCCTTTTTTAATTCTATATTTTAACAGAAATCATCTCTCTGGGGTTAGATTTATTTCTTATCTTTATTAGCATATAAGCTCTTATGTTGAGACTATTTTGTAGAGATATTAATATGAAATTCACAAACTTCAATGTGTTTTCAGATTATAGAAAATATTTTAATGTATTATAATATATACAGACCCTGGATAACACAATGGATTGGAAGTTATCTTTTTTACCTGTGGGACATTAATTTTATAATATAGGTTTTTCCTGAAATAGCTAAAATTCAGTCTAAACATTATAGCTGAATAACAGAAAATCTTGAGTCTAATTCAGCCAAGTTACCACACACGTCTCATAATAAAAATTAGTTCACTTGTGTTGCATATCTGGAGTTCTTGTACTATGTTCAGTCCAGATTGAAATGTTTTTAATAAATTTTAAAGATTAAATATCCCCAGTTGAGAGGTGGAAAACGGAGGCAAAGAGAAATTAAATTACGTGCCTTTAGTCATGTTGCGATGTGTGTGGCAGGTCCAGGAACTCAGATCTTTGTATTCTGAATCCTGTTTCTTAATAACAAGATTGTCTTTCATGCCTCGTATCAGTTGGCGTGATGTTAATGAAGTGCCAATTGTGGCACCACAGTTAAACATGTTTTTTGTGTTAAAGCAGGGATTCAATCTTTTTGTTGTGTATGTAAAATGCAACATATTCTCCACAAAATTACAGCACTACCTTTTGGTTGCTGAATGAAATAAATGAAAATTCATAAATAAATCTGTTAATTGTTTTGAGTTAAGATCAATTTTAAAACAGGTCTTTTAAATAATATAGCAACATGTTTCATCCCCATCTCAATGGGAGGTGTGGTCGATTGGACTGCCTCAATGAGACACAGCATGTGGAGGTGAGAGTGCATGCTTGGTGAAGCAGCAGCCAGGCCCCTTCTCCTCCTGATGTCCTCCACCTCCTATTGGCTGGGCTGTTTGGCTCTCATGCGCCCCTTCACCTCATCCTGATCTATTTAAACTCATCATGGGGTTTTCAAAGGTCTCTTGCTGTTTTCAGCAGTCCCTTCCTCATTCCCCTTAGTTGTAGAACAAGAGCTGTGTTCTTCAGGAAGCTGCGGTCTGATTCACTGCCTGTTTGGTCCATTGGGCCAAATTGGCCCAGTTCTGCTGATATTTTTTGACTTTCTCACAAAGTCATGGGGGCACGGTTGGGTTGAAAGGAAATAGCTTTGATAGTTTACGATTAGGAAAGGTAAGACTGTTTATTTAGCTCATTGCAATTTGTGGCTGGTGTTCAGTGAGGACCAAAACTACAAGGGCCAGCTCCCAGGGGTAAATGAAAGCTGGGATTTTGTAGGTGGACCGTGTTCCTCTAGGAAAAGGGGGTACATGAAATATTTGTGAACTGCAGTTCTCTTTCCCCCTCCTCCCACGTCTCATGGAAGGTCTATTACGAGTTCTTGATTATATGATGGGATCTGGTAACCCCACTCTGAACCCAGTTAAATGCCAGGTATGTGAGAGTGGGGATGGTCATATAGTGATCTCTCCCATGTGGTGGTAAATTTGAGGCCTGCCACTTAAATCCATCCCTGTGTCTGTCATTCATTTGCCCGTTTAGTCTGATTGCTTGTAGTGTAGACGTAACCTATTTGGCAATCAAAGGATGATATTCCCCTATTTGTGTACACATGCTTGTGCTTGCTTGATGAGAGCTTGTATGAGTATAAATAGAAGTGTAGCCACGGTAGCACAGGGTAGTGACAGTGGAGACATGGCTGAGTTGTGCGGAGTACATACCCACCTGAAACCAGTGGGTATGTGTTCAGCATGACTATCCCATGCTTCCTTTGCCACTCCCGGTGCTACCACAGCTATGCTGCTATTTATACTGACTCTAGCTCTCATCAAGCATTGCTTAATACGCAGCAATTATACTAGATTTCATTGTAAACATGTCTACGTTTATTTAACAAAGTATAAATATTCAACTAGAAGTACTGGAAACAAATGGTTACATATATAGTAAAAACATAACATGCATTCTAGAGTATTCCTCACCCAAAATCCATGCAGGGCTTTTGAGTCAGCCTGGCTGTGATCCAACTTTCATGAGCCAACATGCTGTCAGTTTGCCTCCGAGATGAAGAATTGTGTCTCTCTCATTGCACCCCAAGTCAAACCACATCAATCCTTTGTCTTTATTCATAATCAGGACACCCCAACTATTGGTTTCTTCCTGTAGATTTCCTCCCTTGTAGATTTCACAATCTTTTAAATTGTATCTGACTCAGTATGCAAATTAGGTATAGCTTGTAAGGCTTACAATACACAAATGGCCGAACAGGGAGATAGGAATCAGTTACCTCCTGGTAAGCTGCCTTAACTCCAAGACCTTAAGAACATAATTTTCAGTATGGATACATAACTCCTTAAATATTATCTGTACCTATGTTTTGCAATGATTATGACAACCAGTGAGCTACTGGTTCTCAGTAGAGATCTCACATGCAACCCTTTGGTGACCTATTATGCAGATATCTGACTGGGTTTCCTGTAAAACCCTATGCACCCCTGGTGCTCTCTGCCAGTTGGCACGAAGGGGTCCCTGGGTCACATCAACCCTTTCAACCACTGCAGTCTTCTTTCTTTGAGAGACAACCTGATATATCCAACATGATTAAGCCATTATGGTCTTAAGCGTTATGGTCTGAGGCTTTTCTACATATAAATATGTTGGAACTTGGAGCAATTCACATGGCCCATATATTCTTTCTTTATCTAATCCAGGGCAGAGTTATTCAAGTCATGACAGACAATTCCTCTGCTATATTTTACATTAAAAAAAAAAAAAACCAAGGAGAGGCAAGATTAACACCCTTATGTCAAAAAGTGCAAATTCTTTGAAAGTGGTGTATACAATATAAAGTGTCTCTGAAAGCAGCTCATCTGCTAGGTCTTCTAAATATTCGTACAGACCTAAACTAAGCAGAAAGTTTCCATCAGATCATGAATAGACTTTTAAGAGAACTGTGGCTTGTTTAATATTGCACAAATGGAAATGATAGGGTTACCATATCTATTAAATAAAAAAAGAGAACCCTCCACGGGCCCTGACCCCGCCCATTTACCCAACCCCCAGCCCCGCCCCAACTCCGCCCCCTCCTCCCTCCCACTCCCAGCCATGGGGAAAGGGCTGCCGGAGCGCTACCGGCTTCACAGTTTGCCGGGCAGCCCCCAGACCCTGCGCCCCCGGCCAGCGCTTGCCCAGCGCAGCTGGAGCCTGGGAGGGGAAGCGCCCAGCTGGGGGCGCAGGGTCTGGAGACTGCCCGGCAAACCGTGAAGCCGGTAGCGCTTGGGCTTCAGGCAGCCCCCATGCCTCCGGATCCTGCGCCCCCAGCCGGGCACTTCCCCTCCCGGGCTCCGGCGGCGCAGGGTCCGGAGGCATGGGGGCTGCCTGAAGCCCATAGCG